AGCTGCGCCCCGACCTCAAGTTCTGCCCATTCTTGTTGGAGGTGAGGCGCGCCAGCAGCTATGAAATACCGGGGGATGCATCTTTGAGACAGTTATTTTCTACTCTTTCTGTTGCTTTTCTGGATTAGTGTAACCGAAGCGTATTCTGCAAGAAGACCTGTCCAAAGACTAGTACATCTGTAGCTAATTAGCCAGACAGTTCAGGACGCCCTCGATCCTACACAACCACAGAAAACGTAACATTAAACTGGATGCGGAGGCAGACAGGTAACTGCACAGATGAGTGGAAAACCCCGACTTTGAGTTTTAAAAAAAAAAGACTTTATTTTTTAAAGCAGCTTTAGGTTCAGGGCAGAATTAAGCAGGTACAGAGATTTCCCACATGATCATCACAGAAGTCCCCGTGTCTATCACCTTAAGTCAATGTTCTCCCTTTGAACACACAGAAAATACCCTGAAACTACCGATCGGATCTGTTATTTACAAACACTTTATGTAGCTTCCACAATCCTTTCCAGCAAGTGATGCTCTCTGGGATGCATCCAGATACGTACTATTTAGATTATTGTCTTTCGGAGGAAAAGTAATCAAGTTATTGCTGGATCCCTAAGAGCCATGGCTGTGGGGGGCAGGCACAGGGGGGCTGGCAGAGAAACCCACGCAGCAGAGCTGTCTGGCGTCGACCCCGACAACCAAGACCATGGCTGCAATGCCAGCTGCAGAGTTGTTGTGTGTGTGCGTGCGTGTGTGTGTTAGAGGGACACCACCGATTGGCTGCCTGCTGCACGGCCCCGACTGGGGATCGAGCCTGCAAACGAGGTATGTGCCCTTGACCTGAACCGAACCTGGGGCCCTTAAGTCTGCAGGCTGGCGCTCTAACCACTGAGCCCACCGGCCAGGGCCAATGGCCTAGTTTTTGTTTTTTTAAAGATACTTCTATTATTTCAGAGAGGAAGGGAGAGGGAGAGATAGAAACATCAATGATGAGAATCATTGATCAGCTGCCTCCTGCACATCCCCTACTGGGGATCGAACATGCAACCTGGACATGTGCCCTTGACTGGAATTGAGCCTGGGACCCCTCAGTCCGCAGGCTGACGCTCTATCCAGGGGTCCTCAAACTTTTTAAACAGGGGGCCAGTTCACTGTCCCTCAGACCGTTGGAGGACCGGACTGTAGTTTAAAAAAAAATTATCAACAAATTCCTATGCACACTGCACGTATCTTATTTTGAAGTAAAAAAACAAAACGGGAACAAATACAATATTTGTATTTGCGTGTGGCCCGCGGGCCGTAGTTTGAGGACCCCTGCTCTATCCACTGAGCCAAACCAGATAGGGGGAGCAGCATAGTTTTGAGGAGTTGTGTGTGTGTGTGTGTGTGCGCGCACGCTTGCCCCAAAAGACATGAGTAATTTGTCCCTTCAGAATTACTCAATTTTTTTCATTAATAATTGACTCTTGAGAATTACTAAGTAACAACAATTGATTTTTTTACTCAAGTTCAGAGGTGAGCAATAAAGTATACAGTATTAGTCCATTCTAGGAGACGTCTGGCCATCACGTGGATGGATGAGAAAGACTCTGTGGACCCAAATTGCCATCATTTGCATTTGGCTGCATTTGCTATCTGAACATTTGAAGGTTAGTCAAAAACTGTCTCCCCAGCCTGCAATATTCATATCGTGTTTTAAAAAATCTTTATTGTTGCCCTAACCGGTTTGGCTCAGTGGATAGAGTGTCGGCCTGTGGACTGAAGGGTCCCGGGTTCGGTTCCAGTCAAAGGCATGTACCTGGGTTGCGGGCACATCCCCAGTAAGGAGTGTGCAGGAAGCAGCTGATCGGTGTTTCTCTCTCATCGATGTTTCTAACTCTCTATCCCTCTCCTTTCCTCTCTGTAAAAAATCAATAAAATATATTAAATAAATAAATAATAAAAATCCTTATTGTTGAAAGTGTTACATATGCCCCCCTCCCCCCCACGGACCTCTTCTAGTCCTCCCACTCCCCACCCAGGCTCTCACCGCACTACTATCTGTGTCCATGGGTCATTGTTATTGTTTTTTAAATTGATTTTAGAAAGAGAAAGGGAGGGAGGGAGGGAAACATCAATGTGAGAGAGAAACATTGATCAGTTGCCTCCCATCAGGGACTGAACCCGAAACCTGGGCCTGTGCCCCGGCCGGAGCGGAGCCCACCACCGTTCCCTGTACGGGACGATGCTCCACCCACTGACCAACACCGGCCAGGGCTTCCTGTTGTTTACATTACTCAGGAGTTTAAGAAAAAAGGGGAGGCATGTAACACATAAAACAGCCTCCCTTTCATGTGCAAAATGAGTCTCTATTAGACCACCCTCTGCAGTCGCAGCTCTTCTCAACTCGCACATCGTGTCACGAACCTGGAGGGACGCGAGCTAGGACCAGGGAGACCCACGGGGCTGTTGGAGAGCCTGCAGGCTGACTCAGCACCCTCCCACCTCCTCCCACCTCCTCCCACCTCCTTCCACCTCCTCCCACCACCTCCCACCTCTGATCACGGCCCGACCACGTGTGGTTGGCGACAGGCGCCTGGAACGGCAGCGGGAACAGCACAGGCGCGGCCTGCGAAGCACCCGACGGCACAAAGAAGCTCGACGGAGCCGGAGGTCAGAGGCCGGAGAGACCTGTTCGCTGTCATGAGCGCGGATCTGGCCCACGTGGGAGGCTGCCAGGAGGGGAGCTGTGCCCGGCACCAGGCGGCAGACACGTGAGCCAACTGCAGACAGTTGAGGAAGAAGCCACCCAGGC